CTCCTCCTCCTCCTCCGCATCCGCATCCGCATCCTCCTCCGCATCTTCCGCATCCTCCTCATCCTCCCCCTCAAAGTCAACCCTGGGAGTTGTTCCAGGTGCGTTCTGGCCAGAACCCCATCAGCCCTTTGAGCGCAGGTGTAGTTTAAGGAGTCAGTTTGTCCTACATAATTGTCCTCTTTGGGGAAAGGCTCACATCTCCCCCTACCCCCTTCCCCCTTGGTCTGTATGGGCCTAGTCGCGAGACGTTAGAGCGTCCAAGAGGCCCCCAGGCAGTCCAAAATGGTCTCCAAGATCGCACAAGATAGCCAAAGATGTTTTCAGATGGCCGCCGCCATCCCTCCAAGAGGCCCTAAGACCGCCCCAAGACGGCCCCACGTGGCCACGAAGCCTCCCAGGGACCACCCAGACGGTCAAAATAGTTCCAACCCTATGAGGAATCGCTCCAAGAAACCATGCGTCGGCCTCCGAGGGGGGGGTACCGAATTGGTTACCCCCCTTCTTTGATCGAAGGCATCCAAGATGGCCCCAAGAAGGCCCCCAAGGCCCCCCCAGATGGCTCCAAGATGGCTCCAAAAGGAGCCGAAGAAAGTCCCAAAGGCCTTCAAAATGGCCCCAAGGAGGCCCCCAGAGGGCCCCAATAGGGCCCCACAATGGCCCACAGAGCGTGACTGAATGCTGCCACACATCCCTCATCAAGACAACTCAACCGGTGATTGCTTCTGGATGGGCTGGTAGGGATTTTTTTGATCGCGAGCGCAAACGGGAGGGCCGCGCGCCGCCCAAAGCTACCACTAACGAGCAGCAGCCTACATTGCACACGAGAGAGAGGAAAAGAGGGAAAACAAGAGAAAAAAAGCTGGTAGGGATTTTTCCCGCGGCCACAAGCGAAGGCGCCCGCAGCGGGTCGAGTCAGCTCGAGCTACGAGCGAACCTAATTGCAGGCGAGCGTGCAGAGGAAAGCAAGCCTACCGCCGGGGGACGCCGCTGCGCCGAGGCCGCGCTGCAGCTGCGCCGGAGGCCGTGCTGCAACCGCCGAGGCCGAGAGACAGCGCCGAGGGTGGGGACTGCAAGCTGCTGGGGCTGCCAGGAAGCTGCAAACGTGCGGGTACCATGGGCTGATAGGGATACTGTTTTGGTTCGCGGCTCCAAGGCGAGGGACATAGAGCGAGCACAACGTCCGGGGTGCGGCACGTAGATAATTGGCGCGAGAGTGCCGCAGACTCCAGCGGACAACACACGCAGTGGCGCATGCACATGCCAGGGACAAAATGCCCCTCATTGAGACGCATTTCAGCGTCTGCTGGTGACAAGCCGATAGGGATACTTTTTTGATTCGCGGCCCCCCGCAAGGAAAAGTCCAGAGGGCGGTGTGAGCTGATAGGGATACGCGGAGCGTCCAGAATACGCATCGATTTCAAAGCAGGTCCAGCCGTGGCCACAACGGCGCCCCGGGAGGGCCAAGAAGGCCCAAAGAGACTCAAACATCGACCCTCGAGCATCCTCCCTGGGGAGCTTCTTAAACAATACTGCGCGCAGACGCCCTTCGGCGATGGCTGCGGCCGCGGAGGCGCTGTCCAGCCAGGAGCCGCGGCGTTGCCTTCCTCTCCTCCCTCCTCCCTGCGGCCTCCTACTCCTCTCCGCTTCACGGCAAGACGACAATGGACGGCGGACGACGGACGACCGAAGGACTGACCACCGACGGCGGATGGCGGACGACGGACGACCGACAACCAACGGCAGACGACCGATGACCGACGACCGCCAGCCACCGACCACATACCACAGACGTCCGACCATCGACGGCCGACGGCGGCGGCTGCCACGACGTACGCCGACGACGACGTTCACGACGACGCCAAAGACGACGACGACGACGACGACGACGATGACGACGACTGCCCCGGGCGCCTCGTCGGCGCCGCCCAGCCACCCGGTCCACTTGTCCGCCGGGATGAGCGCGGGCATGTCGTCGTCGGAGTCGTCCTGGGCAGCGCGCGTCGCGCAGCACGCAGAGAGCAGCGCGTGGTGCTGCGCTGTGTCGTCGGTCGGCGTCGTCGTAAGTCGTACGTCGCACGTCGCACGTCGTACGTCGTACGTCGTACGTCGTCGTCGTCGTCGCTGCCGTCGTCGTCGTCGTCGCCGCAGTCGTCGTCGTCGTCGTCGTCGTCGTCGTCGTCGTCGTCGCCGCCGTCGTCGTCGTCGTCGTCGTCGTCGTCGTCGTCGTCGTCGTCGTCGTCGTCGTCGTCGGCAGCGGCGGCGGCGGCGGCGACGGCGGCATCGGCGGCGGCGTCGTTTTCGGCGTCGTCGTCGTCGTCGGCGTCGGCACCGTCGTCGTCGTCTTCGACGACGTCGGCGTCGGCGTCGTCGGAGTCGTCGTCTTCTCCATCGTCGTCGGCGTCGGCGCCGTCGGCGCCAGCCTCGGCGTCGGCGTCGGCGGCATCGTCCTCCCTCTCCCCCCCTCCTCCTTAACGGAGGAGGAGGAGAAGGAGGAGGAGGAGATGGAGGAGGAGGAGTGAGGAGGAGGAAGAGGGAGGTGGAGGAGGAGGGAGGAGGAGGGAGGGGAGTGAGGAGGAGGAGGAGGAGGGAGGAGGAGGGGAGGAAGAAGGAAAGAGGAGGAGATGTGAGGAGGAGGAGGAGGAGGAGGAGGAGGAGGAGGAGAGGAGGAGGAGGAGGGAGGAGGAGGAGGGGTGAAGGAGGAGGTAGGATGGAGGAGGAGGAGGAGGAGGGGAGGAGGAGGAGGAGTGGGTGGTGGAGGTGGTGGCTCCTCTCCCCCCCCCCTCTGCAGGGTGGGAGGGGGACGACGGCAGAGAGGGGCAGTGGAAGGGGGGGCGGGTGGCCTCGCGAGATGCGCACGACGCCAGAGACGAGGTTGTCGTCGTCCGACGTCGTTCGTTCGTCGTCTGGGGCGTTCGCCCTCCTCCTCCTCCTCGTTCGTTCGTTCGTCCGTTCGCTCGCTCGCTCGCTCGTTCGTCCTCCTCCTCCTCCTACTCCTCCTCCGCCGCCTCCGCTCTCGTCTTAGCATCCGCATTCCGCCTCCTCCTCCTCTCCTCTCCTCCTCCTCTTCATCCTCTCCTCCTCCTCCTCCTCATCCTCCTCCTCCTCCTCCTCCTCCTCCTCCTCCTCCTCCTCCCCCTCGTTCGTCGTCGTCCGTTCGTCCGACGTCGTTCGTTCGTCGCTCGTTCCAAAGCCGGAAGCCACACGCCCACTGGCGCGTGGGCGGAGAAAAGCAGGGTGAGTCACGACTGCGAAGCAGAGAATGTACGAGCAGCGGGGCGTCACGGCGTCACGCGCCTGCGGAACCACTCGTCTGCGTCGACGAATCCCGCAACGAAGCTGCACCGTTGTTACTTGAGGGAAGGGCGAGAGAACACCCCTCGCTGTTCACCCCTGGCTAGGCCCCTCCTTGCTGAGAGCAACCCGCGCGTAGCCAACCCTCCTGAGGCTCCTGAACGAACCGACGCCTCCCAGAGAACGGCCCGAGAAGGTTCCAAGATGCTCTGGAGGACTCGTCGGAGGCAAGACGACCAAAAAGGACACAAACGAACCCAAGAGAGACCCAGAGGTCCCAAGAGAGGCCTCAGGCAGCCAAAGCGGTCAAAAGCCTAAAACTGCTGGATGTGGTTAGATAATTAAGCGCTTCGGCCCAGGATGGCTTCTGGAGTGCTCAAGAGCACCCCGAAGCGGCATTCCTCCCCAGAGTGGCCCAAGACGGCCCAACGGGTCCCCAAGAGCACCCCAAGAGGTAACCAAGAGGCCAAAGGACACCCACGTCAGCCCCAAGGCGCACCAAAAGCCACTGGAAAACGTTTCCATTCCCATCTTGTTAGCTCTCTCTCCCTTTTCCTCCCCCTCTCTCTCTCTTTCTCTCTCTCTCTCTCTCTCTCTCTCTCTCTCTGGGTCGCCCCATTTGCGCGCTACGCTGGCACGGAGTCGGAATTTGCCGCAGGCACCTGGGTATTTGTTGGAGAGTGGAGAGGTGGCGTGATCAACCGCGAGATCCTAGACGCACCCTTGGGGAAGGGCCCTCCTCCAACTTACGCTCAAGTCTGGAGCTAGCGCAAACATGTTTTGAAAAGTAGCATCGCCCAGCGGGAGTGGAGGAGCCAAGGATTGGTTTTGCTGTTGCTTGCTCCACTATGTTCAGGGGCAGTACCTTATCACGGGCCCGAAATACATATACTTGGTAGAAGGCCCTGACGGGCAGACGGTGCGAGCGAGCCCCCATCAAGGCAATACAATTTCACAAGAAATGGGAAAAGCACCGCCGCTGTATGAAGAATGCCTAAGACCAAGCTCTGTCACGCCGGGGAGGAGGAGGAGGAGGAGGAGGAGGAGGAGGAGGCCGACGGCGACGAAGACGACAACGAGCAGGGAAAGGGAGGCAGAAGTGGCACGGACGGACAGGCAGACAGACGGATGGGCGGCGGCACAAACGAACAGCTGAACAGACGAAGGGGTGGACGGACGGAGCAACGGTCGGACGAACGGACGGAGCGACCGACGCACGCGGCGCGGAAAAAGAGGGGGTGGGCGGCGGAGCCGGGAACCCAGACACGAGAGGGGACCAGCTGCTCGAGGCAGGGGCACCCGGCCACCTCGACCATCTCCCCTGGGGCCCAGCTCGTCCGTCCCCGGGGCGTGTCCCAGCCGCCCGCGGGGCCCGAGGCTGGCCGCCCGGGGGCCCCAGGACGCCCGAGCACCGGCCGCCGCGGCCTTCTCGTGAGCCGCCGGCCGCCTGCACCCGGGGCGTGGGGAGCGGCGGCCCCACGGCCGGCTGCGCTCTCCTCGGCTCCGAGCTCCTCGTCCTCCAGGTCGGCGTCCTCCGCATCCGACGCGACGGCCTCGCGCGGGGGGCGGGGCGGGGGCCGGTGCCGCGGCCCGCCAGGTGCGTTCCTGCTCTCCGCTCCACCCCCCCCCCCCACACCACCAGGGCTTTACGCCTCGCGTGGTTCCTCCCGCCCCCGCGAGCACCGCCGGGCACCATGAGGTCTGAGTTGTGTCCACCGCCCCACCCACGACGAGTGCGCCAGGGCAGGGCGCCACGAGGTCCAGCGCCCTGACGCGCACACACGTTTCCATCAGCGGCGAGGCTGAGGTCACAGCACCAGCGAGCGGGCTACACGGGGGCGCCGTTGTAGCGAAGTGGCCATCATACACGAGCGGAAAACATGGCAAGGCGGGTGGCCGCGGAGGGGGGGGGGAAACAGGGGGCCACTCAGGGACGGACGGGTCTCATCCCTGTGTGAGCTGGCGCGGTCAGCCCCGCCAGCGGGGACCTGACGCGCACACACGGTGCTGAACAAGAACGAGACAGGGTCTGGCGCCCGCCTCCTCGCGCCCTCACCATCCTGTCCGCTGTTCCCCGTGCTCGCCACGGGGAGCCTCAGGAACGCCCCCACGCGTGGAAGAAGGCTGGGGACGACGAGGATCATGAGAGGGAAGCAGGAGGGGAGTCTGATGGACACGGAAAAGAAGAGGAGGAGAAGGAGGAGGAGGAGGAGGAGTCGAGGCGCTGGGACCATCGCCACCACCATTTGATCGCCACGGCTTTCCTGGCTGGCGTTCCGCGTCGCCCTCCCGCTGCTACTCGTCCTCCGCACCTTCCTTCCCAGCCATCCTGTGCTGTTGGGTCGTTGCTCCCAGCCAGGACCCTCCTCACCCGCTTCCCTGGCCGTCCACGGATCCTTCTGCTCCAATTGACCCCCCCTCCCCGTCTATGCACGCACCCCGCCCCTGTCCTCTCCGTCCCACTGCCCACGCCCACCCTCCTCACCGGAGGCCTCCCCAACGGGGTTCGATCAGCTGGGTCGGAGGATCGCGCCACATCGCCAGTGCATCGCCGGGGCGGTACATCGCAGTCGTCGGCGTAGGGAAAATCGGGGTACACGTCGAGTCGCATCGCCGATGCATCGGCGAGGCGGCTCGACCCTCCGACCTCAGCTGCCCCAGCCCAATATGGGAGGCCTGGACTCACTTCACCTGCCCTGTAAGGTCAAGGTCAAGGTCAAGCCTGCGCGCAGAAAGACGAGAACATGAAGGGCGCAGGAGGTGGCACGCGGCAGCGTGCTGTGCAGGCGCGCGCCACGATCCCAGGAAACAGCACGTGCGTCTACAAAAGGGGAAGAGGACTAATTCACATGGCGTTTCATTGAGAATGGTAGCAACAGATCTGAGAGTCCGTGGCTCGCCTCTCCACCACCGCCACAGCACAAAAATTAGAGGGTGCCTCAGCACCACGAGGGCGACGACGCCGACGCCGCCGCCGCCGCCGAAAACGACAACGACGACGACGACGACGACGACGACGACGACGACGACGACGACGACGACGACGACGACGACGACGACGACGATCGACGACGACGGCGGCGACGGCGAGGCGACGGCGACGGCGACGAGGGCGACGACGACGACGACGACGACGACGACGACGACGACGACGACGACGACGGCGACGACGACGACGACGACGACGACGACGACGGCGACGACGGCGACGACAGCGATGACGACGACGACGACGACAACGACGACGACGTCGACGACTACTACTACGACGACGACGACGACGACGACGATGACGACGACGGGGCGGGAAGGCCCCTGGGGTGGACCGCGACCGCGTCCTCCTCCGCCCTCGCGCCTCCTCCTGCCCCTGGACCAGGACCGAGGGCCCGGGCCTCCCGCCCTGACCGCCCGAGGCCTGGGCGCAGAGGTAGGTCGGGCGTGTCCGAAAAATCTGGACGACATCAAAAAATTAGCCTGGCGAAGGACCCTACCATATGCAGTTGTTCGCACGGCAATTGTAGATATCTTCTGGACGAAAGCCTGCCCAAAATCCTTAAAAAACGTACCCTGACTGTTTTTTGACTACTTTTGGATCTCCATCCCGTAGAGGGACAGGACCGGCCCAAGCCCAGAGGGGTGCAGAGAGGGGGGGACCCTGCGATCCTTAGGGGGCCACGTGCGAGCCCTACCCCTACCCCCCACGATTTCTGAGGGGGAGGGTGGGGTTCACTTCATTCGGGAGCTCCCGAGCGAAGTGAACCCCACCCTCCCCCTCAGAGATCGTGGGGGGTAGGGGTAGGGTTCGCACGTGGCCCCCTCATCCTGGCGCTGCCATCGTGTCGCCGCCAGCGCCTCCGCCCGAGGTCGGGCCCCGGGGCTCTCACGGCTCGGCCCGGCCCGGACAGCGGCGCGGAAAGCTGGGGCCCGGGGCCCCGGCCGTGCCCGTCGGCGATGCCGCGCCTGCCCTGCAGCGTCGGCTCTCGGGGGGAGGGGCGGCGTGCAGGAGAGGCGGCGCGCCGAGGGGGGGGAGGAGGAGGGCACTCGCGCGGGCTCGGGCTGCGCCCCTCCTCCGCCTCCTCCTCCTCCTCCTCCGCCTCCTCCTCCGCCTCCTCCTCCTCCTCCGCCTCCTCCTCCTTCGCCTCCTCCTCCTCCTACTCCTTCGCCTCCTCCTCCTACTCCTCTTCCTCCTCCTCGTCCTCCTCCTCCTCCTTCTCCTCCTCCTCCTTTTTCTGACTCCCCGCCCTTCCCTGGGGCCTCGGCCACGGCGTTCAGCTCTGCAGCCTGCATCGCGAACAGTCGTCGTCGCCTCCTGCAGTGGTTCCTGCGCCTGGAGGGGGGGGAGGGTCTCAGCAGGAGGACGAGGGGCGTAATAGCATGCGAAAGGAAGCACGAAGAGAAGGGATAACGGCAGGATGAAGCGGCGAAGAAGGAGGGGAATGAAGAGAAGGAGGAGGAGCGGCAGCAGGAATATGCCCCTCCATGTCTTACCCATTCACGACCGAAAGCGGAGGCAAAGAGACGTTAAACTATACCTAGAGCTGTTCATCGCATTTACATGTTTCTCCCCCTTTACCAAAAAAACACGAGGCAGGGGATGAGGGAAGGGGAGGAGGAGGCCGGGAGAGGGATCGAGGAGGACAAGGACGAGGAGGTGGAAGGTTGGAGGAGGAGGAAAGAGGAGGAAGCGCAAGGAGGAGGAGGAGGGGAGGAGGAACAGGGGGGATGGAGGACGAGGGATGGAGGGGGACTGATGGAGAGGAAGAGGAGGAAGAGAAAGAGGAGAAGGCGGAAAAAAATATGAGGGGGAGGAAGAGGAAGTGGCAGAGGAGGAGGGAAGGAAAAGGGAGGAATTCGCTGGATCCGCTGCTAACCACAGGGGCTGGAACACGAAAAGGGGGAGAGGAGGAAGAGAAGGATTGAGACCAGGATTTCTGCACATGTGCTCAAAAAGCAGTCTACACGGCAAAGGCAAGACACTCTTTGTTCCTCGCGCGACCTTCAACATGTATACCGAAAACCCTCGACACCTTCCCCCTCGGTCTATGAGCGTACCCCCTTTGAGGGGAAGGTGGGGGGAATGTGTTATGCCAGCTGCTCGGCTAACACCGACAGGATTAAAAGAGGCGGATCGGGCGAGCGGACCCGAACGGGTGTGTCGAGTGGGAGGAGCCTGACGGGCGGGTCGGGCGGCAGTAATCCTGACGGGCGGGCAGGGCGGGCGGGATATTGATGCACAAGTCTTGGGTTATGTTGCTCCCATCGTACTCAAGGACCACATCCCAGAAATCAGTTCGAGCACCCAGAGGGGTATCGAGACTGTGTCGAGCGAGTATCGCCTCTCAGGGCCCGACGCGGGAGCCCTCCAGCTTCGGTATTTTCTTGGTGCTCGAAATCATTTCTGGTGATCAAAGCTAAAGTAGGTTGGAACAACATAAGTCTTGGGTAGATCGTGAGAAAGCCCCAGGCGAGAGCAAAGATACAATGGGAGGAAGTCCTCGTCGGACGTGCAATGCCCAATTGGCGAGAGCGCGACTCTTCAAAATAGGATGTGAGGGAGTCCCCAGGCGAGAGCGCGATGCCTGGGCAGGGAGGGTGCGGTGTTTGTACAGCGACTATGAGGAGTTCTCAGGCGAGAGCGCGACTCTGGAGTACATTGCAAGGAAGTCTCGAGCAAAGCGCGATTCCTGAATGCATTGCAAAGACGTCTCAGGCGGGAGCCGCTGCTGTTGTTGTTCCAGTCCAGGGGCCAACATCGCAGTTTGAGCCCCAAGACTTCCCTGACAATGAACAGGTTGCGAGCTTCGAGAGGACACCTCCACCTGGCAAAAGACAGAGTGCACTTGCGGGAGGGGATCAACAATCTTGTTTTTCCCACATAGGAGAATTCGACGAAAGAGGAGAGGAGCAATAAAACTCATCATTCAACGCATGACTTGGAGTTCTACGGGCAATACATCACGGATCACCTCTCGGTGGCAATGTGGGCAACCATCGGCCAGAGGCGCAATGAGAGGGACCACACAAAAACACCACCAACAACACCAACAACAACAACAACAACAACAACAACGAAAACAAAAAGAAAACAAACCAACAACCAAACAAGCAAACAAACAAACAAGCAAACAAACAAACTAGCAAACAAGCAAAGAAGCAAATAAACAAGCAAACAACAAATCAAAACAAAGAATCACAACATCGAAACAACTCAAAAACCGAACAAAACGAAAAACAAAACGCGGGGCCTGCCGCGGCGCCGCCGGCGCGCCCGTCGCGTAGCGACCGCCTCGGGCGCCTCCGGGGCGCTCGGGGCTGCGAGGGCGAAGGCGAGGCGCTGCATGGCGGCGACGGAGGACCTTGCCGCGGAGCGCGCCGCTGCCGATCGTCGTGGCTGCCGACGTCGCCGCTGGCGCTGGCGGACGACCGCAGCGGCGGCGGCCGCCGATCGTCGTCGGCGGACCTCGTCCCCGTCGCTGTCGACGTCGCCGCTGGCGCTGGCGGACGACCACGGCGACGGCGGCCGCCGATCGTCGTCGGCGGACCTCGTCCCCGTCGCTGTCGACGTCGCCGCTGGCGCCGGCGGACGACCACGGCGGCGGCGGCGGCACCCGACCCAGCAGAACCGACTGGGAAGCCCGAGTCCTGCACGGCCTTCCCCCCTCCTCCCCCCTCCCTTTTCCCTCCTCCCTCCTCTTCCCTCCCTCTCCCTCCTCCCTCTTCCCTCCCTCCTCCCTCTCCTCCTGCTCCCTCCTCCCTCCTCCCGTGTCCCTTCTCCCCCCTCCTCTTCCTCGTACTCCTCTTCGCTCGCCTTCCTCTTGCTCCGCCTTCGTATTCCCACCTCCTCCACCTTTCCGCGGTGTCGTAAGAGGCATGTAGGTCGTGCGGTAGCTCGCTGACGCCAACGCCACCGCCCTTTCCCGGATGTTTTTTTTCCAGCCACACGTGATCTCCTCCTCCTCCTCCTCCCACGACGACGACGACGGCGATTGGCGACGACAGGCAAAGACAAGCGAGAACAACGACTTGCAACGACAGGCAACGACAGCTGACGGCAGGCGACGACAGGCAATGACAAGCGACGACTGGCACCGACGACGACGAAAAAGACGACGACGACGACGACGACGACGGCAGCAGCGGCGGCGGCGGCAGCGGCGGCGGCGGCGGCGGCGACGACGACGACGGCACGCGACGACGACGACGCCAAGTGACGACAAGCGACGACAGGCGACGACAGGTGACGACTGGCACCGACGACGACGACAAGTGACGACGACGACAATGACGACAGGCGACGATAGGCGTTGACGGGCGACGACAGGCGACGACAGGCAAACTACGACGACGACGCGACGACGACGACGACGACGACGACGACGACGACGACAACGACGACGACGACGACGACGGCCACAAGCGACGACAGAGCGACGACAAGTTATACCGGGCGCCTGGCGAAAGGCAGCCTCATCGACTGCCCGGACGTCAGCCGACGCTGCAACCGCTCGCGGTCGGCCTCCGGCAGCGCCTCGAAGGCGCCCTGGAGCATCGCGGCGAGCTCGTCCTCTCGCACTGGGGGGCCCCAAGACCCCATCAGGTCGGGAACCAAAATTACGAAAGGCAATTTAATCCTTTCCGTCGCGCTGGCTTTTAGAACAACAAAAACAAAAATACGCGACCTCAAATATGTCGCATCCACGCATGCACGCGCAAGCACGCTCGCCAACTGCAGCTCTGAGCATACACGCGTGGAACGATCGATACGCGTCGGAAGCCAAGCGCGCGGGAGCGCACTCCAAAACATGGGCAAGAAACCTGGCGGAGCCCAAAAATATACTTCCTGGCGATTTCGAAAGGTCGCCACACAAACGGCTGCGCAAATCCGGCGGACATTGCCGCAGGCACCTGGACAATGGTTGCACTCACCTACACGTTGAAGCGGCACACCCTTGTAATCCCCGCGCGGCTCGCAACACTCATGGGAAGTCTCTGCGGGCCAGCCCCAAAACCGCACTCAAAAACGGGGGAAGCTCAACAATGTGGATGCCGCGCCGCAACATCCCGGACCTCTCCCGGGGCGCCACAGAAGGCTAGTCAAACAGCAGAAGGGCTTCTTGGAAACCCCGCCGACTTCTGAGAAGGCCTGCCCCCTCTCACTTCGGGCGGCCAAGAGGGGGGCGTCCAAAAGGGGGGGGGCGCAAATCATGGCCGGCGGCATGTGCGCGGCCCAGCGGGGGACCAGGGACGTAATGTACTAAGAAGAGGCGCCATGAGATCTGAGGAAACATCATGGCCCACCATGATATCTTTTCTCTCTCTCTCTCTCTCTCTCTCCCTCTCCCTCTCTCTTCCCTGATCTCTCCCTCACGCCCTCCTGTTCGAGTTTTGCGCTTCTTAGAAACCCCGCCACCTTCTGAGAAATAAGAAGAGGCGCCATGAGATCTGAGGAAATATCATGGCCCACGCCATGATATCCCCCCCCCTGGTCATCACCCCCCTCCTTTGCCGCCCCCCCTCGCTGCCCGCCCTGGCGCGCCGCCAGCACGGGGAGCGCACGACGGCGCCGCTGAGCGACGGCCACCGAGGCCACGCGCCGCGGAGCGGCAGGCCCGCAGGCGCCACCGGCGCGCCGTGTGGCGCGGAAGGAGAACGTGCGGAGCCCGCGCGGCGGACTGCCGCACCATAAGAGTCCCGGGGCGCAGGGACTCACCATTCAGAGAAAGGGCAGGCCAGAAACCCTGGTGAGACCAAGGATTTGGGCTTCCTCGCCGAGGCTGTCCTGGACGCCCTGACATCTCGCGCCCCCCCCCCCCCCGTCCAGGTCCAGGGGAGGGGGGAGGGGTAAACCGGAGAGAGAGAGAGAGAGAGAGATGCGTCGATCGTGAGCCCAACAAATACTTCACAATCTTTTCTGCACCTACTCCTAATTGCTTTTCTACAAGCCTCGCAGCGAGTGAACCAACACCACACTGAAATCTCAACAGATCTGAATACTCTTGAAAAACATGCAGCCACAAAAAAATTAGGGAGCGACGAAAGGGGGAAGAAAACTAACAAAGAAAAACATTTTTACGCACTCAATTTCCAGAGCGTGCCCGAAACAGCACGGCTGGCCAGACGCGAGAAAGGAGAGGAGAGAGAGGGAGATGGAGGAAAAGGACAGAATCCGCAAAAAAGGAAAAGAAGGAACTGGAAGGCGCCGGACGCGTCGGGCGAGAAATTCGGTTGCGGACCGGGCACCGCTCAGAACCCACACGGACTGGAAGAGCCGAAAAGAGGAGGGACGACAGCAACACGCAAAGAAAGAAGCAGGAGGAGAAGGGTATAGAAAAGGAGGGAAGGGAGAGAAAAGGAAAGAACGAGAAACAATAACGGATACTAATCAGAAAAAAAACATTCCCTGCAACTGCGCAAACGGTGATGCGCGATCGGGACAGGGCAACAAAAAAATTGCGAATCAGGGCCGGAAATCGCCACATCACGAATCAAGGCCTCCAAACAAAAATTGAACATCGTGAACTGATAGAGTGACTACCTGTCTGGGAAAAGTGGGAACTGCAGCCTGGTGCGAGAAGACCCGACGAAAAAAACTGAACTAAAGCCACGCGCAAAACATTAATAACTTGCTCAAGCGTTGCGATGTCTCTTCTTCCGCACAGCTGAACGCGCGCCAGATCGTCTCTGACACTGTTTTCGACCAAACAAATCGCACTCTGGTCTTCCACAGAACAATTTATCCCAGACGTAACACCCGTGCAAAAATACAAAAAAATCCTAACGGCCTAGCACACAACCCATGATCATATTATCGATACGCACCAGGGCAATATGCTTTTTCTTAACAATTACCCGTGCGCTGCTCCAACCGCAAGGACACCGAGCACGCTTTCCACGAAAAAAACACGCGGTTCGATCGAAGGCGCCGCTGACAAAGGGGCAATATAAACGACGCGGCCACTAAAACGACAGGCATAACAAAATACAGCACTGCGTCGACCCTGACACAAGGCGGCGCAATCACCCGATCTCCTCTTTTCCGGGGTTGACTGGAAATGATGAAGGCAAACTGCTGTTCAGAGGTCACATACAAAACAAATGTACCTGTCCACGACTCTGTACGTTCGAAATTGTGTTTGTCCAGACCCCATGGTTGACAAACAAATATTTCACGTCGTCGAAATCAAAGCGCATTACGACAAAATTCTTAGATGCATTTGATTCGCATTCCAAAAATTTGTTGTTCGATATCTGTTCTTTGCGCCGTGGTTCGGAAACTTCGCGTTGTCGAACCCGCCGAGAGGCCCCAGGAGGTCTCAGGAGGCATCAAGAAGCTCCAAGAGGCTTCCAATGCAAATCGATTCAAAATCATCAGGCGCGTTCGTCTGCACCTAAAGGTCTGAACTCGGTCTGCTACTCGAGATAGGTCCGCAAAACTATTCGTATTCTACCGATTTGTGTTTGAAATGCTGATGAGTTTCATCACTTAACTCGACCTGCACATGAGCTTGGGAGCAAGAAAATCATCAAGCGCGCAAATCTGGAATATATATATATGCGCTTGAATTGGGTCTCTTATGAACGAAGAAGCCGAACAACTAATGATATTCTGCTATTTTCCTGGTGATGGAATTGGCTTGTTTGACTTAACTCGAGCTGCAGATGAGCTTCAGAGCTCTTAGACACAACAATCGAAACAGAATCATCAGCCACGCTATTTGGAAATATCTGGATGCCTGAACTCAGTCTGCTATCATCGCTTGGACTGAAAAAATAGCTAATTTCTTGGAGATGGTATTGGTTTTCTTGGTTTTACTCGTGCTGCCGATAAACTACAGAATTGTTCAGCAGCAATGGGAGAGGAATCATCAGGGGCACAACTTACATTGTATCTAGACGCCTGAAATCAGTCTGCTATCAGCGCTCGGGCTGAAAAACTATGTCTTCTCTGCTAATTCTTGGGAGATAAAATATGGCAAGGAAGCTCTACGAGTTTCCGGCGGTAACCAAAGATGACGGTTTATCGCCGGTGCCCAGTATCGCAGAGGTTGCCTTAGCTAGTTGCTGGACGCTTAAGAGTAATTTCACAGCAATGCAGGGCTAGTTGGCAAAAAAAATCTCGAAATTCAAGACTTCGTTAGAGCTGTAACATTTTTTCCAGTGAATATCATTCCCGCTCGCCGACTTAATTTCAAGCCGATCGGAGATTTATCTACGCCAAAACAACGCTCTGGCGGGATTGCTTCTTTCGAGTCATCTTAACAGGTGCTGCGGGGATGCTCTGCTTAACTCGAGCTGTAGGATAGCCAAAGGGCTGGCACGCACACGTCGGTCTAGAATTGTCAGGCACGTACGTCTGAAGCATCTAGAAATCTGAATTAGGAGATAGTTTATATTATGCCGAATGTTACCATCATTGTTGCGCTTCCGCTTCGGTATAATATGAAATATGCAATTGATGATTCGAAAAGATGTTCTGACACGTCTAGTGGCTGCGTCAATTGGGGTAAAATCACCTTTCTTCGGAGGTAGCCAAACAATTAATATTCACTGGGAATAATAATTATCTACTTGTAGGAAAATATTCGGCAGCTATTCGGGTGAAGGCAAATCAATTTCTTTCCTACCTTAAAATGAAAGGATAATTTCCCTGTACCATATTTCTGCTATCGCGTTCGTGTAATTAAGTTTGAACGTTATTCCTGCACATTAGATCAACTAAACACGGTCAGTTATTCACAGTCTAGGAACCTAATCAGAATCATTTGGAAACAACCTTGGAAGGTCAATGGACAACAAAAAAAGATTCAAAAGGTCGCCCAGTGGAATCATATAACGATTCGATGGTTCAACAACAAAGTTGAGATACGCAATGATCTCAAACACTCCTTCATATATGTGCCAGGATGTATACTATTGAAAAAGATGTATATACAACCTAATTACGCAATAAAAATATAAACAACAATAATATTAGTCGCGCGTTGTTATTCATCCAAGAGTTTAAGAAAATATATGTAGTTTACAAACAGCACATGATTCAGAGAATAATACGTTATTTAAACAAAGGGAACCTGAAATAATTGATAACTGCATTCATTAATGAACCTAACGTTTGTCCGTATTCTAATAATAGAAAATGCAAAATTCTGTCAACGCGAATTTTATTTTGAAAACCGAATTGTTGAATCAAGGCGGAAAAACTATCATCTCGTCGGTTTTCGAAAGGTCGTCAACTCGCTCTATCTGATTGCCGAGTTTGTCTAGTTTTGTTCGTTTACCGATTTCAGAACATTTCATATATTAACAAAATGTGCATATTGCTTTTTTAATGTTATACATGTCAAAAACTTCTAAGCAATAACACATTTTCATGAAAAAACAATAATACATATCATGATTCATGATTCTCTAGGATAGGTGTTCGAACAAATGGAGCAGTTTCATAGATGTGGTTTAGATACATTGTTCTGACAATGAAAAGAAATAGTTCCGAATCACTTCTACAAACTGATTTGTTTAACAATGATGACGATGCAATATCAGATTTCG